AGGGGAGGGCAGAAGGAAGGAGAAGGAAGACAGAGAACAGAGGAGAATAGGATGGGTGGAATTTCAGAAAACGGAATGAGGGAATGAGGAATCTGGGGCAGACAGAACCTTGCCAACCACCCTTCTGCCCCTGCTCCTCGAATCGCATCAGGTAAGGCAGCTGCCTCTTTGCCCTAAAAGGAAGATTTGACACAGTAGAGAATCAGGTGGAGAAAGCCTCTCTCCTTTTCTTTACCAGTTAACAGAACCAAAGTCAGCTTTGATGTGTCTGGGAGTCAACTATCCAACTGAGGAATATTTTACAACCGTTTTTTTGTTTGTTTGTTTTTTTTTAATCCTCGGCTAGATTTTTCTCTCCCATGTGGCTCTGGAACATTTCCCCTAACAGTCTGTCACTGTATACTCAGGAATGAGAACTGGTTTTCATATTAGCCGGAGCCAAACAGAAAATGGGCTGCTGAACGGAAACAAGGCATTAAAAACCCCAACAGCTTCTAGAAACGCTCTGATCTCGTAGGTTCTGTAATTTCGCTCTCTTCTCCCACTCCGGATTAAGTCTCTGTTCTCCTCTGCCCCCGTTGCCTCTGCCCAAACCCACGGCCTTGTCCTTGGTCTCCTGTTCTTGCTACTCACAGATACGCTTTCTCTCTCAAGCTCATTTGTGCCCATGGATTCAACTACTACCTACAGGCTACTGGTTCATAAAAGTATGTTTTCCAGCCCCTTTCCTGAACTTTAACCAGATATCACTCAGATACGCCATCGAACTTCAAACTCCACACATTCAAAGTGACAATGATCGATTACCCAGACCTGTTTCACTTCCTATATTCCATCTCTTGGTTCCAGCACCATTATCTACCCAAGTTTCCTTATTACAAATTTGGGATTCCACCTTCTCTCTTACCCTTCATAACCTCACATAAAATCAACCACCAGGTTGCACCAATTTTACTTTCTATCACCCACATATTTCATCCCCTTCTCTATCTCCTGCCTCTGCCCAGTTCAGTCTCTCATCATTTAGCATTAGGCCTATGACAATGGCCTTCTTGTTAACCTTGGATACACCCCGTTAATCCACAGGCCAGCTCTATCTTGCCCACTTATGCCAAAGGGATTGGGTGACCCTGCGAAGCCGGCCATGTCACTTCCTTGCTTACAATTCTTCAATGGCTCCCCTTCACCCGTGACAGCATTTTCCAAAGTCAGGTGCATGAGATGCTATGAACCCCATGAGAAAGTCCTTGCAAAAGAGATTCTATGGGAAATGCTGACTGGGAGCCACAGTTTGGACAGTCACCATGCGTGTCAGCCTAGCAAACGTTCTGACAACTTTCCAGTTTAAAAACCTCTCTGTTCAACGCCATATTTTTCAACTTATTTGACCTCGGAGCCCGTTTTGCACGCTCCATCTATTAACACCATGAAGAGCTGTGTTTTGTAAAAACACATTTGGGGGCCGGCCAGGTGGCTCAGTTGGTTAAGAGTGCGAGCTCTGAGCAACAGGGTTGCCGGTTCAATTCCCACATGGGCCAGTGAGCTGCACCCGAGTTAAGCGGCTGCTGAGCTGCCGCCTGGTGGCTAGATGGCTCAGGTGGTGAGAGCACATGCTCTTAACAACATGGTTGATGTCGGACTCCTACATGGGATGGTGGGCTGCACCCCCCTCCCCTCCCCCCTCTCCCCCACAACTAGATTGAAAGCGGCGGCTGGACTTGGAGCTGAGCTGCACCCTCCACAACTAAGATTGAAGGCCAACAACTTGACTTGGAGCTGATGGGTCCTGGAAAAACACAATGTTCCCTTCCCAAATTCCCCAATAAAATCTTAAAGAAAACAAAAGCAAAACCAAAAAAAACACATTTGGGCAAATTCTAGCGAGAAAATAAAATCTACATCCCTGTGCATGGCCTATGAGGACCTTCATGATGTGGCCCCCATTTACCTGTCCAGGTTCATTTCCTGTCATTCCTCCCCCTCCAACCTCTAGCAACAACTCATCGCCTGTAATTACAGTTCCCGGGGGTTTTTATTCTGCAATGCTGTTTCTTCTGACCAGAATACCCTCCCCTCACTGTCTTCTTTGCAAGTTCCTACTTTTTACTTACGTCTCAGATCAAACACTATCTCTTTTGTAAAACTCCCTGCCACCCCCACCCCGACCCAGGCAGCTTAGCAGGAGGTCCCCACTGCACTTGGCCATGGCTGCCATGGAGACACTTGTGCTTGCCTGCCTGCTACCCTTTCCAGATGAGCACCTGGAGAGCACAGGATCCATCCAGCACAGAGCCCGGAGAGCACACGGCACGGAGGGCACGTAATGGAAGCAAGATGCTTGTCATTTAGGTAGAGCGTGGACTACACAGTGAACCACTGATCTTAATACTAATGTCTTCTTTCAGACTTAGTCTGTGTTTATAAAATAATACCAGCCCAGTGATGTGATGTAGCAAGTACATTTAGTACTTGCCACTTAATACAAACAACCTGAAGACAGCACCTTAACTTTTTAACGCTTAACAGCTTCTGTTTCAAGAGCCACGTTTTATGCAGAAAATTCAGATCCTCTTCACTTTAAAAGAATCTGGTTATAAACAAAAGCAAAAAAAAAAAATTTGACATGTCTGTTTAGATCTTCTGGATGTGTCAGGTGAAGGATAAAGAAAGGTGAAAGTGGGTATAAATGGAAATGCGCACATTTAACGTGTGTAGAAATTCAAACACACTACCCTTCACTGATGGGGACCAATGACTCCAATGACAAAGCTGAGAACAGAAGTGCACGCAGGGTGCCAGCTGACGCGTGGCTGACCTCATCTCCTTACGGTGTGCACTGGCGCGGTGTCAGAACACGTGAACGTGATACATTTTCATTAACTCTAAAGGCTTATCCATAGATCATTCCTGAGCAAAGCCATTAGAGTTACCCGAAGACTCGTCTACAGAAGGACCAATCACATTTCCATAATTGAAAAGATACCTCTAACACCCAGTGCATTTAAGGAGCATGTGCCTTTCCTGAAATTTGTTTCTCCAATTGTCAGCTTGGTGTCTTTTTTTTGTCACCAGTGACTCCAATGACGGGTCCATATAATTCCTGCTCTGTTAATCTGGTTACAGTGGCTAACGGTGAGCAAATAAACACATACAACCGCTGTCTCGGACCATGTCCACTTGTCAGACGTCCAGGACAAGGAAAGTAACCTGAAAGGCGGCCCTTTGTCTCATACGGGTAGAAAGAGCTAAACTCAACTTTCAATTGCAATCAAGGAGCAACAATGCTTGTTCCACCAGTCTCCTCCTTTAAAACTGACCATTAATCTAAATGAGCTCTACCTAAGCTCCTGTGTCCTTAATAACACATAACAAAATGTAAGTTTTCCATTTGAGAAGAAAGTACACAGATTCCTGTGAGAAGTGGAGGGGCAAAAATATCCAACAATACAAAAAAAAATATAAAAAAAAAGGTTTTAATGCATGTAGGGGGACCGGGAGCCAGGCTTGGTTTGAATTCCTGGCTTTACCACTTACTAACCTTGCTCAAGTCACTTACTGTCTCTGTAATCAGTTCTCTCCTGTATAATCTCGGTCTCATATAGCTTTTGGCAGGAATAAACGTAAAGTGTTTAAATGCTGCCTGCACACAGGAAATGCTCACTAAAAGTTGGCGATCCCCGTTATGCCCTCGTTGTAACTGGTAATTCCTATACTTGGGGATGCTGACAACTGTTTTGGGAGCAAGATCAGGCAAGTGGACTGATGTAGGAGGAAATAAATCACTTGCCTCCAAGTGGCGTCCCAAAACAACAGCCGACTCCAACAGCACAGCCCACCGTCAGCATGTCAGTGTAATAGTATGGCTGCTACTAGGGGAGAGACAGACCAGGAGAGAGATGGGCGGGGTAGGGAAGGAGGCGGGGGAGGAAGGAATGGAGAACAAGCAAGGGTGGGGACAAGGCAGAAGGAGAGGCTTAAGTGACAGGGAATCTTCCTGGTCCATGGCCCCTGCAATTCCCAGGCCAAGAGAAACTCAAGTGAGTTTGGCAAACAGGAAGTGACCTCACAGCGCAAGGCCAAACATAGAAAATAAAAGTTAGGCAAATATATGGTGGGCAGGTAAGCCAATAAAATGATCACCAGGGCGGGGCTGGAGGGGGAGGGGACAATCAGGGAGAGGAGTGTCAATAGCAAGAGACAGGAAAGGACTTCAGACAAACAGGACTACCATGAAAGCCTGCATGAAATAGCTACCAGCCTCAAAAGAACACATGGCCCTGTGGTAGGAAAGTGTGGGTGCCTGGAGACCAGCACCTGGGGTCCAGGGTCACTCCCTGAATGCCCACCCACCAGTCCCTCAGCGAGCACCCTCCTCCACCCCAAAGCTTGTGGCAGCCACCCAGACCCCACTTCCAAGTCATGCTCAGGCAACTGGGATGGGGAGGAAGTGGGACTTGCCTCCAATAGGGGCTGCAAAGCAGCATCCCACGCCCACCGCACAGGCTGACACCAGGAGGTCAAGCTGCCCAGGCACGGCCTGCAACAGAGAAGCACGCGGGACGAGGAGGGCACAGGGCTGGGGCAGGGGGCAGTCATAGAGAGACGGGCTGGGGGACCAGGAACAACAAAAGGGCAGGGGCAGCACAGGAGGGAATTGTGGAAGGGAACTGATATGGGGGGGCATGTAGACTGGCAGCTTAGCAGAGGAGCGGGCCGTGTGCAGCCCTGATGCAGGGGTGCAGAGCAAGAAGAGGGTGTTACCGGACAGACACAGGCTAAACAGAGGTGCCAGGGGTGTGTGTGGAGGGTGAGGGAGCATGGGTGAGCGCCATGCCCCATTTCAGCATCACGGCCAGCCTGGAGCAAAGGCAGCCCTCCCGACACCCTGAAACACATAGCATCTCCCCCTTCCCCGTAGTTTACTTTCTCAACCTTACCTCATATACCCCACTGAACACAGACATAAACTTGCTGAGGACAGCAGCACAGATGCTGGCAATGTGGACAAACGGGCCCTGGGAGAGAGGAGAGAAAAGGGTCAGGGGTGGGGGTCCAGATGGGGCCCCTTGTGGCACCCCACGGACTAACATTTGCTGTTCCAGATTCTGTCCTAGGTGCTGGGGACACAGAAGTAAGCTAGAAGTTCTGCCCTCACGGAGCTTCACCCCAGAGAGGAAGGGAGAGGCGACATCAGCATGTTATCATCTCAGAAAATTTTAAGGGCCGGGAGGAAATTGTGGGAGGACAGGGGGATGGAGAGAAACAGGACAGAAGAGGGTAGGGTGGGGGGAGGGGTGTTTGGAGAGGGTGCTCAGGGAAGGTCGCCGCTGAGTGGCGCCTTACTGAAATGAGGGCAGTGAGCCACGTGGGGGTCAGGAGGAAGAATGTTCCAGACTGAGGGCAGAGCAAATGCAGAAGCCCTAAGAGGGCACACGCTTGCGTGGTTGAAGGACAGGGACAAGGCCTTATCACTCAAATACAGTGAACAAGGGGCAGCCTGGGAGGACAGAAGAGGGACAGAGAGCAGCCAGGTCACCACAGGTCCCCGAGGCCCCGGTGAGAAGTTCAGATTTTATTTTAAGACGGGAAAGCCATTGGGAGCTCTTGAGCAGAGGTCAGACATCACTGATTCCATTTTGAAAAGGTGACTCTGGCTGCTGTGAGGATTACTGACTGTCGCAGGGCAAGAATGCACTTGAGTATAACCTTGAAGAAAGCACAGCCTCTTTCTAGGTCTGTTTTCGCATATTAAACCAAGGGCATCGGTGTGGAGTGTTCCTAACACAGTGGTCTTCGACTGGGGGAAATGTGGCCCTCCTTCCCGGCAGCGGACATTTGGGCGTGTCGGGGGCTGCTACTGGCATGGAGTGGGTAGGGGCCAGGGATCACGCTGAACATTCTCCAGTGCACAGGATGGCCCCCCCACCCCCAGGACCAGGAATTACCCAGCCCAATGCCCAGTGTCCACGCTGGGAGTCTCTGCTCTAAGGCCCTCCCAGCCCGGACGGCTCTGCTCTTCTGCCGCAGGCCTGGGGCATTCCCACGTATTTCCCCTCCCTGACTCCCCTTGGCCCTGGCTCTGGTCCCCATGCCCATGTCCACGCCCATGTCTGCTCCCAGGGCCGCCCTCTGCCTGCGGGCTGCCCAGCTGCCACCTCAGTGACTGCCCACCTACCTCCTTCCCCACAGGGATGCCACTGCCCAGCCCAGCAGTCAGGGCCACAACCTTGGCCACGAAGGCCTTGAGGGTGAGATATTCCTTCAGGATAACCCCACGGAGTATCGTCTTCATTTCAGGGATCCCAGACCCTAAAAGGGTCACACAATGATTATTTGCAGGTGCAGGCTGGAGGTTAAAAGGGCTGTGAGCATCCGGACAGTGGACATGGGGATGGGGCAGGGAGAGGGCTGTGGTGGGGAGGACAGTGGCAAAGCAGGTGCAAGGGCTGTCAGCAGGGCTGGGGGAGGGAGGTGTGGGGTGGAAGGGTCAACAGGACAAGGAGATGATGCTTGATGATGTGCGTGGGAGCATCTGCGGGAAAGTTCTCACCAACGGCCTGGGGAGAGATAAGGTGGCAGAAGAGGGCGCTGAAGAGGATGAGCGTAAGTGGGAAGGTGACCCAGACCAGGTACTGCAGAGGCAGGTTGGGCTGCATCTTGTAGTAGCTCCACTTGTAGGCTGCAGAGACACGGGCCGGGGCTCAGGCTGGCGTGCACGGGAGGTTGCCGCCAGGCCCACGCCGCCGCAGTGGACCGTGTGCAAGGAGCATGCGCGCGCCGGGGCTCTCCCGTTTGACCTTGCGAGATGGTGCTAGTCTCATTTGACACGTGTGTGGGGAACGTGAGTTTCCGGAGATGCCCTGCCCCGTTCAAGTTCCCACCACTCGTAGGAGGTGGCGTCCCTGGCAGTGCTGCAAACCACACTCGGTGCTGGGGCTGCGGGTGTGATGTCAGTTCCGGGTTTGCCTGGAACTGCGGGCGTCCTGGGACCCAGGACGTTCAGTGCTCAGACCGAGAAAGTCCTGGGAAAACTGGGGTGAGTAGGTCACCGTATTAGAGGGGCGCCCACAGCTTGGCTGGTAGCAGGTGGAGGGACAGGAGAGATGGGTCTGGGTCTGGCCTGGTCTGTCCTGGGCCAGAGTCCCACCTGATCTCCTCTGTGCAATGTCACCCTCCCAAAACATACCCAGCTTATCCTAGGTAGACCCTCTAGACACAGCCTCAGCTTGGGGAGAGGCTGAGGGGACAGGGCCCGGTGAAACCTACCCTGAAGGGTTTTAGCACTGACATAATCCATGCTCCAGCTAACCAGAGCCATAAGCAGTCCCAGAAGCACCAGAAAGATCCAGTCTTCCCCTAATTTTCTTCTTACCATGCGTCCCAGGCGGCACATACAATCTAGGAAGAGAGAGAGGTAAGGAACAGTGCTAATGGATCACTGCTCAGGTGGACGACGGAGGACCGGAGGGGAGGTCTGGTCTAGACATATCATTCACTTAGGGTCTTGTCTAGACGTCTCATCCACCGAGTTTCTCTTCACCTGTCTGCCAGGTGGGACAGCACCTGCCCTTTCCAAAGCCACCAAAGACCAGTGCCCCACTGGATCCTTGAAGTCCTTCCTAAAACTCATTGCTTGGGGCTGGGTGGGAGGGAAAGTGGGGAAGAAGGCAAGTGAAAAGATGGGGAGAGATGCGTCTCCTTAATGCTGGGAGGCGGGCTTTGGGGTGCATGTGGGGAGCGGGGAGGACGGGATATCTGCAATGGGGCATCCAAGTTGCTCTCCTAAGCCTGTACCTCCTTCTATTCCAGATTCTTTTACTCCTCAGTCCCATCACCTTGACATTTAGAATAGTGGTCCTCATCCTTGCTGTCCGTGCTGGCACTGGAGCCCGTCTTCTTGGGCATCCCCATGCCCTCCTCCTTGTCTGAGAATTGCTCTTTGTGATGGCCGTAAATCTGGACAGAGGGAGAATGGGAAATGACTGTCTTTTGAAAGAGTCAAAAGGAATAGACAGAGGGAAGCACATAGACCCACAGAAAAATAACGAACGGCTTTATAAAATCCTGGGTGTTGAGGGCCTCATTTAGGGTCACTGCATGGTCCTCTCTGCCCTGAACTCCCCGCTCTCCATTGGCACATATCCCACTCTTTACCCTTATCTGTCCATCCTCACTCCCTCTCCATCCTGTCCTCATCTTGGTTGACGGCAGCCTTCATCAAGGAGGCCAGTTTCTACTCTGTGGCAGGGATAGAAACACTGTGCTAAGACTGGGTATCTGTGTCAGTTAGGTGTTTTCTTTGTCACTCTGCTTACTGTATCTAAGCCTGTCTCTAACATCCCCAGACCCCCTGCACTGACTCTCTCCTAGGACTCCTGCCATGGGACAGGGTGAGGACAGACCAGCCTGGGATTCTTGGTTGCACTGTGACTTGGTGCGTCTAGACTTTCTGGAGGCCCCTCAGCGGCTCAGCCGAGCTTAGAGAAAGCCTATCCCGCACTCCCTGGACTTGTATGCACAAACAGGAACCAGTCCCGAGAAGGGAACTTTTTCCCATAGCAGGGTAATTAGATGCGCCCTCAAATGTGAAGTGGGCGGAGCATGTCTGGTAGCCCTCCGCTCTCATCCCCAGGTAGAGCAGGTGAGTTCCGTGTTAGGAAAGGGCTCTTTTAGCCTGCCCCACCCCCACTGCACTCACTCTGTCCTCTGGGGCCAGGGTCAGGCCAGGCCATGCTGCTGGTTCTGAGACAACCTGGGTGTAGGAGATCTGATTTCGCAATATAAGCGCAGATCTGAAGCCTGAGCAGTGGACAGGCGCACACTAATTGCCCCGCTCGTGTCTGTTTCCTCTTCTGGGATTGAGGTTAGTAGTGACTGAGGGAGGCAGCGTTTCCCTCCACGCCCCACCTGGGACCCAGGGACAAGACGCTAGCAGTGCACGCCCCGCCACAGGCTGTCTCAGTCTCTTGGGTCCCAGGCTGAAAGAGTAGAAGAGGGGCGCTCCGTACCAACCCCAGCCTGGGAAACACTAGACGAGCCAAGTCTGCGCTGGCTGGTTCAGGGCTGAGCGCCACAGCAGAGCAGGGCTGGGGAGGGGAGGGGGGAGTCAGGCCGAAAGGGATGTGGAGTCTGCGCTTCACGTGTGTGGGGTGGTGCTGCGTGTGGGTGAGGGTGTGAGGGAGCTCGCACACGCACAGGCGTGGGCTCCTTGGCCAATCACTCGTGTAGCTTATGTAAGCAACAAGCGTGTCACCCATGTGTGGCTCTGCTGTCCCCCATAGGATTCGGGTGTCCCGCTGGGAAAGAAAGGTTATATAAAAGGACGTGCGTATCTGGCAGTGCGCGAGCAGCTGGGCCCAGCCCTACAAAGGACTCATATTGTTGAACACACTGAAATGTACTTTTTTGAAATGAAAAAGAACATTGCTCCCTCTTTCCCCCCATTTCTTAATTTCCCCCAGTCCATCACACCACTGTCTCCTCGAACCCGTGCCCCACCCTTAGGACTTTACCTGTGTGGAGTGGCTGTTGGGATGGGGGCCTGCATCCCTCCGGAGCCTGTGCTGGAGGCCCCCATTCTCAGAGGGCAGTCCGTAGCTGCTGCAGTGTTCGAAGGGCATGTACTGGTACTGGGGGGCGCTACCCCACCAGCTTTGTTCGCCCCCACGCCTCTGGGACTCCGATGGCTTCATGCTGCCTCCCCAGGCCAGGCCGTGGCCTGCTTGGCCCCGTTCGCCCCCCAGTACAGCTCCTTAAGCCTGTCCCCTTGCCTGTCCCCAAGGCGTCTGGGGCAACATGCCCACCCCCAGCTATTTATAGCCATCTCTCCATCACATGACCCCCCCNGAGCTTACACTTCAGCTTAGGAGCCAATCGACTGCGGTGGTACTTTTACAGACATCTATCATATTAACTGAAATACAGCTGAAGACACGTGAGCTCAAGTTTTCAAAGGAACAGCTGGCTACTGGTCCCTTCCCTGAAGGATTTCATCGTAGAGAGAAGGTTCAGTTTGCCCCTAGAAGAGAGCACCTTCTCCCTGTCCGCATCTAGTATTGCCTAGATCTCTGAATAGAGGAGGACAAAATGATCACAGATGGTTTTATCAAGTACCTTCTCTAACTTCACATAACCAGTCAGAATTTGACTCCTAAGTTAGAGCTTTGAATGATGATTCCTTTCCTCCCAGATGAGAAGCATGCCTGCGTGTCTGCTGCGCCTAGTCACAGGGTCCTAGCTCTCAAAGGGGCAACGCAGGCTGCGTGAGAGAAAGAAGGGGATGGAAGCGAGGATGGATGAAAGAGGGAGTCACGGGCTGACCTGGGGCTTCTGTCCGGCTGTCCTGCACGGCACACGGATGATGCAGAAGACAGCAAGAACGGCAGGGTAGGTGAAAAGAGAAGAAAAAGGAGCAAGTGGCAAGGGGGAGGAGAGATGGAGAAAGGAAAAGAGGAGGGGGATAAGGCAAGAGACACAGGGGTAGGAAGAAGAGACAGACAGAAAACCCTTAACTGGAAGGAGTCACAAAAACCGCAACAGGGTGATTAATAAGCACAGACAACGTCAGCGTCCTCAGCAAACAAGGCGGAGACACTGACAGCGAGTCTTGAGAACAGGCCATGGCGGTGCAGAGAGCTGACCAACCTGAGAGCCATGGGCTGCCCAAGTCCCAGCACACCCCATGCATTGGGAGACACTTACAGAGCAAGAGAGGCGGTGGCAGCAGTGAACAGAAGGAGGTGCCCAAGGGATCCACTAGCACCTGAGAGGAGCAAACAGCACAGTGAGAGCTGGTGGGAGGTCGCCCAGGAGCCACCGCCCAGGTGCTGGCTGGCCAGGGCACTCACCTCCACGGCAGGCCTGGATGAAGAACATTTTCGGCTTGTTCTGTAGGCTCGGGCAGTTGGCATTGTCAAAGATCTGGAACACCTCTTGTAGCTGCCGGAAAGAAATGAGGGAGAAGGGACGGTAAGTAGTCAGTCAGACCTCCAAGTCAGAGACACACCACAGTCGCCAGTGCTGGACAGACGGGCCGGCCAGGGGTGACGCGCCTGAGCCGGAACGCATCGTTCACAAGCCTGCACGCACCTGAAGTAGTTTGCCGTCCACTCCGTAGACGCCTCCCTCCACGCCGTGAGACAGGAGGGCCACGATGCACGAGTCTGTGACACGGTGAGCGGGTAACCGGGCAAAATCCTGCAGTTTCTTTTGCATTTCCTAGAGGACAGACACCTCTTAGCCTTGTTCGCTGTAGTCAGCACCAATATAAGCTTTTCTTTGGTGTCTGGGCCCCTTGTGGGTACTGACACATAGATGGTCGTGTCCCTTATATAAAATGGCACAGAAGAAGGCACACAGCTGACCCTCCTCTGCAGGCTCCCAACTGCAGACTGAAAATACTGTTTCCTATCCAAGGGTGGATGAATCTACTGATGCAAAACCTGGGGATACAAAGGGCCTACTGTATATTTACATGCAGAAAAATATCCGCATGTAAGTGGAACCATGCAGTTCAAACCTGTGTTGTTCAAGGGTCAACGGTACTTCTGTTTGTAGATAACTGAGACTTAATTATATCAAAGACTTGAAAGTCTGCAACTTATCTGGAAATGGAGTAACTAGCTCTGTTGAAAAAGTATGTATAAGCCAACCACAATACTGGAAATCTTAAGGTAATAAAAGATACCCAAAAGTAATTTATTTCAAGAATATGTAGCCTCAAGAGAATACACAAGTATGAATGAGAACCCTAACAGAATTTAACATCTAGTAGCTGAAGTTAAGTTTGCTTGAAGAAGAAAATAAAAACATGCTTTGCACCTACTCAACTAGCCTTCTGAACTTAAGTGAGATTATAGGTCAGTAAACAGAGGGCAAGAAAGCCCAAAGTAAGAACACACACTTTGTAACTGAATTAATAAGACGAATCCATTAAAAAAATGGGGATTAGTCATTTGGGGGAATTTTCCCAAAGGTAGTATCACTTAAAATAGGATCTGTAGATTTATTTCTGATAAAATTACAGTACTTCTATAAATAGTTTCAACTCGTGTGTGTGTGTGTGTGTGTGTGTGTGTGTGTGTGTGTGTTTGGCTGGAGGGCACAGAAGGGAATAACCTGTGAACCCTCTGAAATTATTTGCAAAATGTTGTGGGTTAACTCATTTTCCTGGAACTGGAGAATGAGACTCCAACAGGTTCTTATGCGTCAGCTTTAGCAGAAACAGGAATAATGCTGTGAAGTGGGCTCACTGGTCCATCAAACCTACTGACTGTCGCTAAAAAACAACATACAGCCGACTTGGTGATTCAGGATTGTAACTTTTACTATCACCGATATAAGATCGGTTATTGACTATATATAATTTAGAAAACACAATAAATTCCTAGTAAATTTAGGATCTAATAAATTCCTGGTAAAAAGAACTGACTAGACCCAAACCTGTAAGAAAACATACAGAGCCTTCATTTTGTTACATGACTTTTTAACAGGGTTCCCTCAGGAGGAATTATATGGCTGATGTGCCACCCGTATTCTCTTCATGCCCAGCAGACCTCTCAGGAAGGCATATAACCTACTTGAATACTTGACGACTAAAGAGGCTGTTTTAGCCATGGCTTTGAGGCAAGGGTGGGTTTACTCTTTGCATGGGCTGTTACTGGAAAGCTGGCACGCACAACATGTAAAGGAGATCATCTGAGTACCTACTGAGGAAACCAGCCTTACTAGAAGTATAGCAAATACATACTTTCCTCACAGAAGCAAGACAGTTGAGAAACAGAAAGAGGCCACAGACAACATTGAAGACAAAACAAAGACCGCCCCCCCCAACAGATTAAAGTGAGTCTCCTAGAAACATTCATTTTACCACTAACATTTCCAAAGGCGAGTTTAGGAAAGTACTATTATGCTGGAATCAAAATGAAGAATTTGTTATCATTTCACCAACAGGGCTATTATCAATTTCAAAAGAGAAATACCTAAAGGTAACAAAATCAGTAGCACAGTTTTATAATTGAGGTTAACAGGGGAGAACCCATAACGAAAATGCCTATGACTTGCAGGAATCTAGTTCAGAAATAATCTACCCTAAGATCTGCCTTGTGGCCACACGACTGATTAAAGTAAGAAATTTTTCCATGTTAATTCATTAAACCGTCACCAAATGGTATTTACAAGGGCAAGTCCAGCAAACTTTCATTTGTAAGAATTTTATCTGCCAAAGTCATCTTTACAACAATAACTGGACTCCTGTTATTATTCACCAAGTAAATGTCCTGTGTAGTCCCGGCTTAGAAATAGCTTTCTGAGTCGGTTGGGTGAATCTCCGTGTCGCCTCACTTCCTGAATGACTGGGAATCAAGTTGCCGAACACAGAACAGTGAGAACCAACCCCGGACTTTTATTTCTCAGGGAGGGCACAGCTACCCTGAGAAGTCAACACTGACGCGGCTGCCTGGCCCTACCTAGATGTGGTCTTTCTTTTTAAACTAGATTGCAAAGTGGAAGGCAGAACAGAGCAAGTAAAAATTTAAGGAGAGAATCTAACTCTGTCAGACACATCCCAGGAGGTGGAGAAGCAGGTGTAACAGCAGGTGTTTCTGGCCCCAAAGAGTTGCCTGGCCCTCTATTTACAAGGCAGCGTTTCTGGCCTCCGGTACCTGTGCAGTCTGGTCAAAAAGAACGTGGACTTCGTAGCCCAAAAGCTTGAAGAGGGCGACTAGTGTGCTGTGGTCCACATCTCCTCCAGAGCGAAATTCTAGGTCTTTCTCTCCAGTGAAGTGCACGTTGCTTAGCACCAGTGCCAGGCCGCGAGGCCGAGATTGCAACCTATAGGCCTGGGGAGGGGAGGCCAAGGACACTGTGAGAACAGAAACTATATGTGTTCCTGCCCCCACCCCCCACACTAGATGAGACATTTAAGAACACCAAGACATCATATTCTTCTTCTGAACCCCACCAGGTCAAAATAGAGAAATGCCCACAGGAGACGTTCCATCAGCAAAGACATGACTAACAAAGCCGGGAGGGACTGTATATACAAACTAAGTTTAAATGCCCAGGAAGCGCATCTCCCAACACTTGTCTCTTGCCGCTCTGCAAGACTCACCAGCTGGTAGTGTGTTTGATAAAACTCAGGAGTGCAAGGCTTCACCTGGAGGCAGGGAGGGCCATCTCCGTCGTCTAAGGAGGGTTCCACAGAATCTGTGGCACAGAAAGCCGAAACACTAGCATATAACCTACGCATCAGTCCTAGTGCTTCAGTGTCACTTCAGGTTTTATTGAACAACTACTCAGGTTTCAATAATTACTGGTCTTGCTCACGCCCCTAATTTGCAAGAGGGCAGAGACCCTGTTTATTTATTTAGCCTGCATACAGTAGGTGCTCAACCCACTGAAGGACTGGATGAGATAGATAATAAAAGCCTTGTTCTAATCACAAACCAATTCAATCGGCAGGTTAGCAGCCCATCATGTAGTCTTTTTTTCGTTTTAAAATAACTTAGCTTTACAGAGACAGGCCAATCACAGGCAGGACTGTAAAATGGTTGCTCCAAGGGCCAATTACCACAAAAAAATCATCTGTGATGGAAGGGAAAGAGGCCTAAGCAATACCCCATCTAAACTGCCCTGCTGGTCCCTAACAAATTCCCTATATGAAAGAAAATACGTAATGATGCTAGGGTGGTCAGCGACCAGTCAAGGACAGGGAAACCCATCTGTGGGACCCATTTTAGCCTATCAATTCTCACCTGCAGACAGGCGGAGCTGCTTGGGAGGGGGACAGGATTCATACACCGGGAAAGAGAGACTTGAGTCGTAGTCACAGCTCAACTGTAAGACATCAGGACCCCCATGCCAGGACTTAGGGAGGTGGGCCAGTCCAAATAAACCAAAAATCTAGTCCCCCCCAACCCTGTCTCAAAAAGGCCATTCCCACCAAACTAACCCTTCTCAACACACCCCACGTCTTGAGCTCCATACCGGTGGGGTTACATGCTGAAGATTAGAGAGGGTTGTGAGCAATAGATCCTCCAGGTGACCCTGCTTGGTCTCCCTCAGGGCCGCACAGAAGGCATCAAAAGCTTGGGGACCCCGCTTGGGCAGCAAGTTGAGGAGTTCCACATTCTGGCCAAAACTGCCCACTTTGGCCTACGATACAAGAATAAAACAGGAAATCATATTTACTCATCTAGCTATAATTGTATTTCTCCAGCTGAGCTTCCTAACAATGGCACCGTCCATTGCAAGAATTCCCTTTATAGGAAAAACATGCATGGGTGAAACCCTTCCCGTTATTCTTTCTTTCTAGCTGAGCCATCCTGCCACCTGTTGGCAGCTCAGGGGCAGCTCAGCTTGGGCCAGGACTTGAACCGGTGACCCTATTGCTCAGAGCTCGAACTCTTGAGTGAGCTCTTAATCAAATGAACCACTTGGCCGGCCCCCTTCCTGTTATTCTTGAACCGCATGTCTTTTCTGTTAAATGCTCTAGGGTAGAAGGGCCTTTTGATTTGCTGAGGAAGGCGCTACATCCTTTTCACACTTTATCAGGCTCTGCTCCTACCTCTGCCGCCAATCTACTTGGCCTTCCTCTTTTGCCTCCAGATACCTGAATGTGCTCCCTCATTTCAAAGGTGATGATGTCTTTCTCCAGGAGATGTTCTAAGAGTTCACCCAGCAACAGCTGTTGGGCTAGCACCACTCGGTTCTTTTTTAGAGCTTCCTGATGGTTAGGATGCATGCCACAAACTCCCAATGGCCTACAGATAAAACGCAGAGAGAAAGGCTGTCAAGTGCACAAGAGTGGCGTGGAAGAGGTGTGGGCAGGAAGAACAGAAAGGACTTACAATAACCAAGATTAGGCACATTTTATTGAATCTGGTTAAAATCAAAGTATTAAGCAGTCATACATATACACTGACCATAAGAAAATGAGGTATATAATTCTTTACCAAGTATATTCAATTGAGCATCATCTGAGACATATGGTCTGTCTAGGGGAGGCAAATACCTATCTTGATAAAAATAATAGCACACACAGCAAGCACCCATGTATTCATGAGATGGAATATTCCTGTGACAGACCAATTCCAATTAAGAGATTAAGTCAGAAAACATTTTACATTATTTATCTAGGCTGTTGAAATTGATATAAGTTTAAAATGATCCTGGGTGAGGAATGAAATAATTTGATACAATGGCAAAAACTCAAACCAATGACCAGCTTTAATGGAACATAAATGAGGTGACACACAGACACACACTCTGTCTAGCCTACTTATAACAAAAGTTTTAGAACTTTAAAAGCCATAGGACAAAATGATGCTACAATTGATAATGAACCCTGTAAGAGCTGGGTAAGTAGAAAGTATGACAGAAAATCACAGTAGATAAATAACAATGACACACACAATCACCATAACTTGAAATCAGTTAGAAATATAACACACAGAAAGGCTAAATTATTTTGGTAATTTAGTTTACTGAGATGAACTCATTTCAAGGATTCCTTAGTTTTGCTATTGGTTTGGAAAGAGATCACTTTCTGTTTATGAACGAAAAGAACCCCATTTCCAATACTGGGGTATCATCTATGTGCCTAGTTTATATAAATCCAGAGCTCGCCAGCCTGCTTAGCCAGTGTCCAAATATACGACAACTGTAAGGGCCTGACGGTAGTGAGAAAGGAATATAGTAATAGCTTCAGTTTATAACTTTAAAACCTATCCAAAACATGCTCCTGGGCCGGCCGAGTGGCGCGNGATCTGGCACGAATGACAGGGAGGTGGCATCACGTGGGAGGGTGGCCCGGGAACAGATAGAGGTGACGGCACAGGGTGCTGCAGTACTCCGACATCTCCTTGCACCGGTGGAACTCGGTGCCAGGGGCGTAGCCTTCACGCTCCTTGATAAGTGCATTCACCTGGAAAGGCAGCAATCGAGAGTCCAAAGTCTGAGAATTGGGTGTTCTCATGATGCCAGCAGCACAACAGGAAGGGTGGAGACTGTGGAAAAACAGTGCAGGGAGGAGGAAGGCGGGACACCGTTGGGGGGGGGCAGGAAGGGGGGCGAGGGTGCAAAGGGCTCACGGAGCCAGACGGAGGGACTTACCTTCACCAGCATGTCAGCCACGTGCATGTCACAAGCCCTCTGACAGAACACTTGGGTGAGGGCCTCAATGTACCAGGAACCCCGTTTGGTATTACGCATGGCAGCTGTCCCTGCAACCAGGAAAGTCACCAGTGTGAAGGTCGTGGGACACCCTCGCACAGCTGGATGCCCCAAACTAGACTTTTCATGGCACCCGGGACCCTCCCCAGCCAGAAAGCCCTGCATGAAAACGTGCACGAGCATCACGTTTGGCTTATTCTTCTGGAACTCAAAATACCTTTGAGGCAGGCGTAGCCACATATCATATCTGAGCGAGTGGGCAGTCTCATCTTCAGCAAGTCTTCCCTACCAGCATCACTCTCCTCACACCCAGGGGACGGGGCGTGGTTCTTTCCGTCCTGCTGGTCGACCCCACGATCTGTTTCATCTGTAGGAAGGCAGACAGAATGGACCAAGATGTTATTTCCTCCCGTCTCTCTTGGGCCTGTCACAGGCAAGCCCAAGTTCCCTTTATAACCTTGACTGGGAAGAGCCATTTCCAGCTATTGCCTCCAACCTATGTTTGAGGAATTAAAAAAAAACAAAACCAAAAACCACAAGAAATCATTACTCCATTCTTTCCCAGAATGCATCTGTCACTCAGGGAGTGCACACAAACATGGTCTGAGCTTTGTCCATTCTGTGTAAGACAGGAANTTTCTCCTCTACACCCTACTGGATCTTACCTTCCAGATCCTTAAAAACTCCTTGGTCCTCTTCCCCATGCCCAGCATATGAGGCCTTCCTGATAGCACTGGACAGGCCTCTTTCTCCCCCTTCTGGTTTTACAGGCACCATGCAATTTTCCCCTCTTCTCTGCCTAACTAGGGCTAAGATGGAATAATCAAGTCTTTGGGTCTCAGGTTTCTTCTCTCAGCTCAGTGGGAAAAATCTATAGCCCCCAAAAGCGAAGAGAAAAATCTCCCACTAGGGAAAGTCACAGAAGCGATAGTTAAGGGCACACACTGAAGCTGACAGATTGCTTCACATCCTGGCCTCAGTGTCCTCAGAAAGGCAGTAACTTAGAGGGTTATGGAGATGAAAGAATGCCTGTAAGTTACCATAGTATTTGCCCCACAGGGAGCACCGGAGGAATGTTAACTGGTGTTATGAGACGGAAACTCCTTCTGAGAGCGTTAATGCGTTAACACCGTGTAATTTACCAGGCATCATCACGTGAAATCCTCTTCCTTTGAAGGTACAATTTTCCTCATTTCAGATGAGGGAGACTGAGGTTCCATGAGGTTAGGTACCTTTAGCCAAGGTCTCCAGGATCTTATAAAGCTAACATTCAAAATCTTCTTGATTCCAAGTCCATGCCCTCACAGCTAGCTACATTTCTTCCTTTTTTTGTATAATTGAAGTCTCCAAGCTTCATGTTCCTCTCCTGTAAAATGGGAAAGTGACGACCTTGTGGGACGGTGGGGGCGGGGTGGACAAGCTCCAAGCACAGTGCCTGGTCCGTTGTAACTACTGTCGATGGCTTCCTCCTCAGATCTGACACCTCCCGCACGTTTCATTTCTTCCTGTTCTCTCCGCTTCCTCATTAGAGGAAACAGGCCGGGGGAGGGCAGCCCCCAGCTCTGGGAGGGGATAATTTTAGAAGAGAATGCCTGGCAGAGGTAAGCAGGGGGGAAGGGAACAGAGCTGTGAAGTTGAACCTGATACCCTTCCTCAGGGGCTGGGGTGGGAAGGCCACACAATCCAACTCAGACAGATGCTGCTCTGGAACTCCCAAACATCACACACCTCTAAAAAGCTTTCCTACCCCAAAAAAGTGTCCTTACTGTACTCCTGCTAGTCCAGGACTTGCTCAACTGCTCCTAGACCTTGTCGCCCCCTCCCTTGAGGCCATCCCGCTGTTTCTTCTTACAGCGCAACCCACCAGATCAGTCCCTCCTCGTGCCCGCATGCCCCCCCACCCCCGTGATGTCACTCAGTCCTTCGCGCTCCTCCTCCTCTGTATTCCTCAACGACTCGCCCCCAGCTCCACAGCTGCTTCCCACCAGTGTTCCCACAAAGGTCCCATCTCTTGCTGAACCTCCGCAGCCCATCTACACTTAGATACACTGCACCCCAACAGCTCCCCAACTCACGCAGCCCACTGCTGAGATCCCATCCTGGCTGCCCGAGGATTCTCTCACAACCTGTGCCCACCCTAGAAAACCTGAAATCCAAACTGGACCATGTGAGGTAAGGAATTCTACAATCCTCATCACCCTCCTGTGCCAGCCCAAGGCTTCTCCAGCCTTCATCCCACAGCTTAAGATGGACTCCTCTCAGGTGTGGACTTGTACATATAAAAAGGATGTGGCAGGGCCGGCCCGAGTGGCGTGTTGGTTAAGAACTGGCTTGGGACGCCAGAGGGCCCCGGTTCGGATCCCACATAGGAGGGCCAGTGACACTGCCCTCTACAGCTAAGATGCTGAACAACAGCTCAACCTGGAGCTGGGCTGCCTATGAGTCGCCGGCGACGGCGTAGGCTGCAGCCCCTGTGGCAGTGGGTTGCCATGGGCTACCGTGTGTAGCCAGNCAATCCAAATCAAATGCGTATCAGGCAGAATTCCCAGGTCTGCAGCTCTCATCAGGTTTTAAGGGGACCGAGTATAATTCCTCATAAAGGAAGAAAGGGAAAGAGTCTCTTAGAGACTTAAAGATGGTGAATTTTAAAAGAAGCCGAGATTAGGCAGGACTGGAAAGAGCCCCCCTGAGTTGGACGAATCGAGGCTGGGTAGTCTTTTTTCACCAGGGACAAGGCCGAGAAGAGGCCCGCCCGCCCGCGCGCCCCTTTGGGGCACAGCCCGGCCTCCCGCCCTAGGCAGCAAACGCGAGCACAGCTGTTTCTAGGCGCTCCAAGGAGAGGGCGCGCCAGGGCCACACGCCTGGACCCCCGATCTCCCTCCCTGAGCCCCACTAAGGACCCCTGGGGACCTTCCCCTACTCACCTGCGTCCTCTGTCAGCGGCCATCAGGCCCTTTTGATGAAAGGCGGGCCGCGAGCCCGCAATCGGCGTCGCCATTTCTCGCTTTTCCCGGGCTGTGCGCGGACCGCTCACAACCCAAACAAACCCAAAACGTTCGCGCCCTCTGCATCCCACCCCGGTCCGCCGGAGCACAACGCGCCTGCGCCCTTCCTCTCTTAGCACCACCCCCTACACGAGGCTGCCCCGCCCCTACTGTCGCCGGCGAGCGCGCAGGCGCAGAACTTTGCGGTGGACGCGCCGTCCAATAGGGTGAGAGCACGATCGACGGAAAGGGAAAAGGCGGGGACAGAGCGAGGATCCGCGTCCTACGTGGGAATGAGATTGGTCGTCGGTTCCCGCGGAAATCGTGGGCCCTCTTCCCGGCACCTCCCACTCCGCCTTCCTGGCCTATTGCAAGAAGTTTACGGAAACGGGTGTGGCCGGACTTTTCCCTTTATTGAAAGCGGTTGGTTAAGGAGGAGGCGGAGAGCGCTAGAAGGCGCTAGACAGACACCCGCGCCGTGACTGGAGGCCCGAGTGGGGAGCGCACCCCGGAGGAGGGTTGGTCAGCGATGGCTGAGCAGCGCCTAGTGGCTAAAACCTACACCACAGCCGCAGCGCGTGATTCCAACCTGGGGTATTGTTGGGATTTGAGAAAGCGGGGAGGGGCGGGGGCGGGGGCGGGCCGCGCTGGGGTAAAACCCTAGCGGTCAGAGTGCAGGGGTGAGGCTGAATCGATTCCAGGCTGTGCAAGTGGCTCCAGCCGTTCACATGGGAGATTCGAGAGTATCCTTAGGTCCTCCGCCACCCCTGCCAGGAAGCTCACGTTTTATCCCTGCTGACCCTCCTACCCACCCATTCCCAAACCGGGAAGTCTCTACTCTTGGGGCATTTGCACCCCACTGCTTCTCCATTGGATGGGCAGGAACTGCTCGCACCTGGAGCAGGGCCCTTCACAGCTTTGGTTAGCTTTGCTCCTCTCTAGGAGGCTGGGCACGCTCCTGGTCACACGCAGCCCAGCCTGTCTGCAGACACAGCTGGTCCCCCATTCTGTCTACGCGAAGCCTTCCACCCCTCACTAGCAGTTGTCCAAAACGGAGCCGGAGATGTGCGGATGGCCTGGCTTCCGTTCGTTACCTTGTATGGAGAACACACCGGGCTTTGGGATCAGGAGAGCCAGAGCTCAAGTCATTTTGATGCTCTTTACTAGTCCTGCGCCCCCAGTGCAAGTAATCAAACTTCCCTGCCCCTTGGAATCCTCATTTTTCAAATGCGGGGAATAATACCTCACAAGGCCGAGAGGCCTAAGTGACCTAATGGAGAGGCAAAACACCCCGGAAAAGAAGCAACAGAGCTGTCGCTTAAATGTTTCTTTTCTTCCTTCTCCAGAGTCAATGGATCACGACCTCATCTCACCCTCAACCTAACTCTGGAAATATCAGATCTGGGGTAGGTTTCTGAACGTTGCCTGAAAATTCAAATTGTGCCACCTACATCTCAACTGGGAAGGGCTTCCCGTAGCCTGACTCCTCCTTGGATTAAATTCCCCATTTGTGATGTCCAGTTCCTGACACATAGCAAGCAGGCCCTGGGAAACGTGGGTCAAATGAATGAGTGGCTCTGGTGCAGAGAGATGGTATAGCCTGGGAAAGTCTGTTAGGGGGGTGTCCAGTTGTCATCATAGAAAACGTCGTCATCATCATTGTCAAAGCGGATATCATAGGCAGGGGGTGGAGTAAGAGGCTCCAGTTTGGGGAGTGGCTCCGTTTTGGGGAGTGTCCCCAAGCTCTGCAGGTCAGGAGCAGTGGCCACTGTTCGTGGTCCCCGGAGCCGAAGGCTGATGGGAGCTCTTCCAGGGCTTCCTGGGGTCATAGAGCCCTCTGAGCCCACTTGCCTTTCCAGTCTGTCTCTCCTGGGTCCCTCTGGATGGTTAGACTGTCCCTCTGCAAGTCCTGGGGGGATTTCGACAGTGCTGTAGGGGGGCGGTTGATCCAACTCTTGCGGGCGGCACTGTGATTCTAACACCACGGCCTCTTCATAAGTTGGCACCTCAAAGGCTTCATTGTCCCTGAGGAAGGAGAAGTAAGATCACTGGTGATTTCCTGAAAGGAGCCCTTTTTCCGCTTTCTGTCTTCTACGGGCAAAAGACCCCTCCACAAGCCCGCGGCCCCTCCTCTCACTGATACCGGTGACAGAGGGAGGCAGAGCCTGTCTGTGTGTCTGAGACACTAGGACACGGGGATAGATCCCCAGTGAAGTCCTCCAGCCCTGCCCGCCCCTTCACTCACCGTGCATTGCCGGAGGCCCCTGGGCTGTCTGTCTGCACTGATCGGAGCACCCTTTTCAGAACAAAACAGGCCAGGAGGCAGGCGAACAAGAAGAAGCCACCCAAGGTCAGAAAGAAATAAGCAACAGGGGTAATGTCTGGCCGTATGCCCAGCAGAGCCAGCCCCAGGATGAAGGCGGTGCAGCACAGGTAGAGAAGCAGCTTCTCCAGTCTTCCCCACCACTGGCCGGGCACCATGGCCCTTCCCCAGGCTCCTGCAAAAAGATACACAGCTGTTGTGTCTAAACTAGCAATTGGCATCATGGCTGGGTCCGATTCCAAAGAAACCACATTAGACACCTTTATGGGTCTCAAGTTCTTCAATCTCAAATCAGATAAATGGTCAGCAGGGTCCTCTCCAGCTCGGTCATTCTTTTTAAGCTCACGCTGTGGTCCCAGAGTAGTATTATAAGATATGCGGAGTAGCCAGGAAACCAGCCCAGGAGTTCTGGCTCCCGGCCCTCACGCCAGTTTACTGTGTCACAGCCCTGCCTTCCTGTTTCCTTCTTCCCTGTGGTCTCCCTTCCACCTCTCCCTTTCCACACACACTGTCCAGAATCCAGCCCTGGATGGGCTCTGGGGCCTTGGGGTTCCCTGGCATCTCTGGAAGCCAGGTGATGGGGCAGGCCCTGCCCTTTGTCTGTTACTGCTGTTGCTGGATGCCCACCCCCTAGCGTCCCAGCCAGACCCTCAGTATAACCCTGTTGGGGTGAGTAGCAGGTAGGAAGCACCACTCGCCCTGTCCGACCCCATCTTCCCATGTCCTCCAGTCCACCCATGCTCCAGTTGGAGGGAGAAAATGCACGGAGGCCCACCGTAGCCACAGGACACAACTATGTGAGACAGAATCTTACAGACAACAACTGACCTCTTCACACCCCCCACATCTGCCAGGGTCTCCCACCCACCACTGGCCCTAACGCGGGAAATTCAGATTTCTAGTTTCCTGCCCAGAGTTACCACAGAGGCTGGGAGGTTGGTGGGGAGAAGCCTTTGCTTTTCTTTGCAACACAGCAGCAGCACCGAGGCAGCTGTATCCCAAAAGCAGCCTGTCAGGAGTTCCCTGAACGCTGAGTAGCAGGGACTCAGACTCCACAAAGGGGCCGGACCGCCTCCTTACACCCCGGCCCCAGTCCCAGGACCCTCCTGCCCCTCTCACCGGCCTGACGAGTTCCTCCCTCACCTGTCTTGACCAGACTCCGCAGAAAGTAGGTTGTGGGGGGAGTGAAGGGCGGGGAGGGGGTGGAGCCCGCTGGCCCCACCCCCTCTCCTGCCCCACTCTCTCGGTTCCTGCCCCGGCTTCGCTCTTCCCCTGTCTCGGTGAGGCTGACCTGCTACTGCCCCACCTTGATGTCTCCTCCCTCCGTCCGCCCCCTGCAGTGCGCTAATGAGCGGCGCGCCTTCCTACCCCCAGCGATCTTTGTACTTGGGACCAGGGTTAAATTTATCCCTTCTCAGTGCGCAGTGTATGCTGAGCAGCTTGCCTTGTGTTTAAGGAATCTATTTTGTGCCCAGGGACAGAGACCATGGTTTGTTTAATCTCTGTTACATCCCACAGTGCTTCACACTGTAAACTCTGCTGTGGGCATGGAAAGGTGCGTCCTGCCTCTGTTGCCTCAGTCCCTTTTTCATGAACTCCTTGTTTTCTGCAGACCTGAGATGAGTTTGTGTGTGTGCTTTCTGGCCAGGTGAACTGGCGATTGAGAAGCCACTGTGGAGGTGAAGCCTGCTGTGGAGGCTGTCTCCACAGTGTAACCACCTACCCCTGTCCCAGCCTTTACCTGTCTGTATAGTAATTTTCTGTGTACACACCGTTTTTCCACTGTGAGCTTCTCTTGGTGAGTGATTAGTTTCCATCATCTCTGAATCCCTGCAGCTAACTCAGGTCCTTACAGGCACACAGTAGGTGCTCACTTAGCATAGCTAAATGCTTTGATTAGAAGGCTACCATTTGGCTTGGCCTCGCCACACACTGGAGAGCTGGGACCCACTCTGTTGAGCTGCGGATCAGACAGTTCATCGGGGCGAGGCAAGTGCTGGGAGGTGCAGAGTGGCTGGAGGCACACTTTGTCCTTGCGACTCAGAGAAGGATAGTCAAGGCTGTGCTCTGTGCCTTCAGAGTCACCAGTGGACAAATGGAAGGGAGTAGAAGATAACGGGGTACAAATCTAATGCCAGGGCCAGTTGTGAGCATTGCCAGGAGTGCAGCAGCAGACGATGCATGAGCGTGAGTGTGTGTGTGGGAAGAGGAGGGGTACGTGAGTGTATATAGTGGGGCATGTCATGATGAGCCTGTCCCAGACTGACAGAGAGGAGGGAAGGCTGTGTAAATGGGGTGTCAGTGCTATAGGAAGTGGCAATGGAGAGTGGCAAGAGAGTTTGTTGTTATTTTGTTTCCACCAGTTTCCTTGCTCTTCAGCTCACCTGGGGAAAATGTAGCTGGGATCAGAATTTCAATCTACAGCTAATATAGTAAAAGAAGGAAATTGGTCTGCATAATAAGTGTCAATGTAAGAACATCCAAACCTGTAAAAATTTTCATAAGACTTTATTGGAGCCAAAACTGACAATTGCTGGAAAGCAAGATCTCAGATGCTCTGGAGAATGACAGTGTTGCAGTTTCTTTAATGCATTTAAAATTAAGGAGGGAGCATAAGGACCATTACACGGAAGTGGGAGAAGGCAAGGATGGGGCTAGATGACAGGATGCTTAATATTATGTGCTCTCTTGAGGGTGGTTAGGCCTTCGAGGGCTATGACTTCTGGCATCTCAAAGGTGTGCTAACCTAGATGCCTAAGAACAGTGGACAGGACTGGCTTCAAACCTCTCACTAAAGAAGCTGTAGGCCTGGGGCGTGACCACCCACAGTGACCTGCCCGGTGAGGAATTTACTCTTAGGATCAGGTCACCCAGTGAGGTTACTTTCCAAAGGACCCTTTTTTGTCTACATCTTGTGTCGTGTAATTTTTCTTTCGTTTTCGATGATTTCCTCCTGTTGAATTCTAAGGAATGTCATTATTGAGACAAGCAATGTGAACGTTTTCATTGCCCTGAATACATATGGCCAAATTGTTTCCCCAAACTTGCACTTTCCTTTTTCTTCATCAACTTAGTGTGTCCTTAGCAAAATTTGAATGCACCACTTAATTCAATTGCCATTCCATTTTCTACTTGCCTGCCTCCCACAAACCACCTTGCTAGAGGTTGGGTCACCCCTCTTGGCTGGCTGGCTGTGCCCACATCATTTGTGGGGTGATGGTGAAGGGATGTAGGAGGGCCAGGAGAAGGGAGAAGAGGAGATAGCTGATAGGCTGCTGGCGAGGGGGACCGGCTGCCAACTGCTGAAAGCTTCTCTCCGTTTTCACCTTTCTGTGATTTTGTGTTTCCGAATCTGGGTCTGCTGTGTTACTCACAGCCAACACGTGTACAGTGTTTTGTGTGCATTTGTGCTCAATGTACATACACATTAAGTAACTTAAAACACGTAGAATGTAATAAGAGGTTGTCGTTGCCGGGGATTTGCGGGGAAGGTTTCGGTGGTGAGATGCCCAATGTAAAAAAGGCACGGGGAGCCGACATGAAGGAGGAATCCGCATCTTTCATTAGCAATAGCAACCTTATATAGTGGTTTTGGGGAGGAGAGCGCAGGGGCGTACCCATGCTCCCTCCCGCTTATGCAAGTCATGCTTATGTAAGGGCTTATGCTCCTGCTCAGTAGGCCCCGGGGTCAAGGCTTGTACCCTGGCCTGCACATATTTGGACATACCCGGGTCTGTGTTCCGGGCTTCCGCTGGACAATACCCGGGTCTGTGCTCCGGGCTTCCGGTCGTGTCCCTGAACATGCAGGGCCCTGTTAACGTAGTTACTGTTACTGTGCCCATTTTAAGGGTAAGGCCAGAAGCTTGAGGAAAATGTGTAACTAATCAAGGGTGGGGTCAACATGTGAACCCGAAGCCCCAGTCCAGAACCCGGCTCTTAACTACTCCGTCATCACACTCTGAACGCTCTTTCTGGCTGCCCTAATAATGAGAATTTAATAAGACACCTATGATACTCTATGATCATTACGCCTGAAGTGGTTAGAAGGTATTTTCCCATTGTTTGGCATCCTAAGAAAAGGCTAATCTTCAGACAGCAAAGGTAGCAAAAGAGAATATCAGAAGATAAGAAAAGGTTATTGATCTATAAGGAAGCATTGGGAAATTAAGATCCCAGGCTCTGTATCAGGATGCTTATCATTTAGGGGCTCATTAAGACCGATTTGAAAAGGGGACACTTTCAACTGAATGGCTCAAGAAGCCCAACGTGCAGGGCATTGGTGGTGGCATGCACGTAAGTGTGTAGAAACGGTTTGGCCCACACCCATGATCTCATTTGATCCTTAGTAACCATCACGTGGTATAGGTCTGACGATCATTTTTCATGTTACAGAGGAAGGAGCCAGCTCAGAGAAGTACATGCTTTGTTTAGTTAGAATCAAACTCATCAGTTTGGCCCCGTAACTCCGTTGGGAGTATTTTTCTCTGTCTGTTGCCTTACTCACAGCTCCTCCAACTGTGTAGGGAAGGTAGATGAAGGATTTAACATGATGTAGGTCAGAACATTGATATTTTGGGGATGGAAATGCTTCCAAAGAATCATAAATCCTCAAGCATGTCAGGACAAATCGACGTTGTCGCCCTCACCGACTAGTTGAAATACTGTACAAAGCTCACTGGAAACCAACGGAGTGAACAGTGGGGTTCAGGCTGTCACTCTTGCTCAGATACTCAGCACTAAGCCACAAAAAGCGATTCTGGAATTTGAGAAATTGAGCATGGTTGTTGCCAAGTGACAGAAAAAGCATTGTGTTTGTTAGCAATGTCTATAGATTGTGGCAGCAGGGTCCCTCATGAATATGTCCCTAAGAATGAGACAACAGGGAGGCATTGTGGTTTATCACGTATTTTTAGGGCTTGGCCAAACCAGGTTTCAAATCTCAGTTCTAATCTGTTCTACCATCTATCACACTTGGGTTCATACATCCTTTATAGTTCACTTGCTATGTGGACACTCTGAGGTGTATACAATAGATCCCGTGGGAATCTCACACTTCAGGAGCTTACTGTCCACAAGAGGACAGCCATGTACATAACGAGCTGCTGTAAGACAAGGTACAGAGTGACAAATGCTGCGAGCAAGGTACAGAGTGCTGCCCGGCATCAGAGGAGACACTTTGTGCCGAGAAGGGTGGGGCTCAGAAACACATCATGGATAAGAGTGGGGATTGTTTACACTCCTCGTAGACCCATCTCATTACTAGGCATGGAGGAGACAATAAATACTTGGTGTGTCATTTATTGGTAATTAGCGAATACTTACCGATTTAATGATTACTGAGCTTTTGATCCTCCCTCAGTTGCCTACCCTTCCTTGCTTCCCCACACCCTTTCCCCGTCTTTTCCAGTCGGGCAATCAGCTAGAGCCAGTCCTAGCCTTGACCATGGGCTTGGCAGAAGAGGCAGGTGGTCTGCTCCAAGCCAAGGGTTTTAGTTTTGCCCAGCGTTTGTAGACATTGAAGGAACTCTCCAGGCAGGGGTTAGGGGCCTGGGACAAACAAGGAGTAGTAGTACTATAGTTAGGCAGAATGTCACCATTGGGGAAATTGATGAAGGGTGTATGGCATCTCTCTGCATTATGTGTGACACTTAACGTGTTAAAAAATATGGACGTTTCTGGGAGGGTATGCAAAAAATTGGAGAGTAGGCATGGGAGCGGGAAAGGGGAGACTTCACTTTTCACTTGACACCTTGCTGGGTTTTTTTGTTGTTTGTTTACCACATGCATACAATACTTTTTCGTTAATTACCACTTGCGTTTTGGCTCTGAAAAATATCATTTTTAGGAATTTTATTTAAGAAGGTTGTGGTTTGGGAGCAAAATGTTATTTGTTAAGCTTGGAATCTGAACTGAAACCCAAGAAAGTGGTTCACTATTGAATTCTGAATATTGACTTAATTGCAAATTTGGTATTACAGAACAACTGTTGGTCAGAAAGGGGGAAGAGAAAGAAACTAAGTATGAAACTCTCTTTGGATTAAAGAAAAGAGTGTTCCTTTGTTTAATAAAAAATTCAGCTGCATTTGGGGTTTTTTTTTTTTGCCTTGATGGTTAATTTTATACACATAAACTTCACTGAACAAAGGGGTGCCCAGACAGCTGAGAAAACATTTCTGGGTGTGTCTGAAGGTGTTTCTGGGAGAGATGAGCATTTGAATCGGTAAGCTGAGTAAAGAGGGCCCTCACCAGTGTGGGTGGGCGCCATCCAATCCTCTGAGGGGCCCAACAGGACAAAAAGAGCAGGAAAAGAGCCAGTTGGCTCTCTGAACTGAGACACCCACATTCTCTGCCCTCAGATATCAGCGCTCCTGGTTCTCAGGCCTTTGGGCCGCACCTGCTTTCCTGGGCCTCCAGCTTGCCGGCCTCTGTCAGATGGTGGGACTGCTCAGCCTCCGTAATCACGTGAGCCAATGCCTCATAATTGATTTCTGATTTCTCTACATATCTATAAATATTTGTTTTGCGTCTTTGGAAAACCCTGATGAATACATTCATTGTGGATGCTACTTGGCAGAAATTGTTCAGAAATTATAATCTAGATCATGTGTGTGAGGATTAGTCGAGAAATTGTCTCCTTCCTCCAGGGAAGATTAAGTTCTGCGAATGGATTAGGAAAACGGGATGTTTGTCTTTGAAGAATGGGCAGAGCTGGGAAAAGTGCATCTGTGGTAAGAGATGATCCTGCTTCCACCTGGGACATGATTTAGGATTAGGTGGAGCAATTGGTACCTTTAGGAAACAACGGGAAGGATGCACAAGTGGACCCAAATGTGAACCTCCAAGTGCTTGTTTCTTTTTAAATTTAAATATATATTTGTTCACCTGATCATTTAAAAAGGTATACAAATAGAAATACCTTGACATATTTTATTCCAAGATTAATATTATAACATCTTCTGTAATATATCAAGACATAATTGAGATATTATAGTTTCATCTTTTTTTCCCAATCAATGTTATATCTTAAGATTTCCAGTGTGCTTTAAAATTCTTCACACATACAACTTTTGATGGCTATGAAACATTACATACGGGATAATACCATAATTTATTCAAACATCCTCCTACTGTTAGATATTTAAGTTATTTGGTATCACAAATAATGCCAAGATAAGCATCTCACGAAATCTCCTTTGAAGGAGAGTGCTGATTTGGAGAGGGACTTCTGCCATTACTTCACTATGACTTGAAATCCTGGGATATTCTGGAATAATGGAAAAGGGGGCGAGAGGAGGAAGACAGAATGTGGTGTGGGACAAAAGGGGAAAGTGGGATGTGAGATGAGAAAGAGCCAGAGGAAGGGGGCAAAGGGAAGATGGCGTCTGCTCCTAAGGCCCCTAGAAGTCTCCACACCTGGTTTCCACCCGGCGTCCAAGTGTGGTTTCAGCTTCTGAATAAAGGGTATTCTCAAGGAAGTCCAAATACAAGGTATTCTGATTACTGCGCAAGTGGGCAGATAGAGCAGGGACTTTGGATAAATCACTGAGGGTGCGGGAAAGCCATAGGTTTGTGTGCAAGCGACAGACCTTGTACTTGGCCAGGGAGAGGGGCCTGGGCTTTTCTCAGGATCTGCACTGTGGGCGAGAGGCGGATTAGCAGCTTCCCCAGGCCACGGCAGCTCCAGCAGGCCTCCCTGTGCTGCCTTGCCCTGGTTCTGCCGGTCAGTGTAGCTGGACCCGGCTTAAATACCCGGGCACAAGTCAGCCACGCTCTGGTTCCCTCCAGTCTTCACTCCCACGGGGCCTCAGGTCCCAGCCCCGTCTTGGACACCATGGGGGGGTCAGAAGACAGCAAGTGCCAAACTGGACAGTTGCAAAATCTACCTGGCTTAGTTTTCTGTCCTTGACAGAGACCTAGGGAGTTTCTGCCGAAGAAAAAGGGGCCTGTTTCCTGCTCCTTGCACACAAGCTGCCCCAGCTGGGCAGGGGAGCTGGGAGTCCAGGAAGAGCTGTTCTTCCCAAACACCTAAAAGTGGACACGATGTGGCTGCAGCACCAAGAACACACGGACACCAGGGAAGACGCAATATCATGCCTAATGGCATTAAGTTTATTTTGTGCGAAAGCAGAGTCTGGGGCTCTGAAAAGGCACTTGTGAGGGACAGAAGAGCAGCCAGGAGAGTAACGTAGAGGAGGCACCACACAGCCCCTCCCCGGCATCCCCAGGGCTGGGGAGGCCCGAGGCCCAGTGCCCCATGGTGAAGGCAGGGTAAGCAAACCGTTATACCAACGGTTTTGCTTCCTCTGGGTGTCCTTAGAGTCTGGAACCCACAGCTGGAGGCACAGGGCCCATCCACTTCTCTCCTGGATGGCAAAAGCCACACGTGTCAGAGGCTGACTTCACAAGCCCCCAGGGTTTTTCTGGGAAGAGCTCGCTTGGCTTCCTTCTCTCCTAAGGGCGTGAAGGTGGCCCCTCCCACTTAACCGCAAGCACCCCACGTCTGTATGAGGCTTCGCTGTTGGAAATACCTAGAACATTGTTTTCTTTGATTATAGTTTTGAGTTGAACTGCTGCATTCTCTATGCCAAGAACATATTTTGTTCTAAATCTGTCCTCGTCAACCAATATGACAGGGGTGGGGCTGGGGTCAAGGGCAGCTCAATGTGTACCTGTAACTTACCCAGCAGGTATGCCAGCAGCTCCATCCGGTCACAGCCAAACAGCATGTGGGTTTGGCCATCCACGTGGGCCACGGTGACAGGCAGCCCGAAGGCCTGGAGAAAGCAGTTACAGTGCAGGGAGGAAGGTGGTAGAGCAGGGGCTCCTCAGGCTGGGATCAAGGCCATGAGCCAGTACTTGTCTGGGGCCACATAAGCAAATCTAGCCAGAGGTGTCTGAGAAGAGTTCCTAACTCTTGGATGCTCTGTCTTTGCTCACCCTGTATCTCCCTCTCTTCCTGTCCCCGGGGTCAGGGCCTGGAAGGGAGAGGACAAGGTCATCTGGGAGAGCGAGGGAGGACTTCTGGCCAGGAGCGTGGGGACCCAGCAGAGACTCTAACACTGGCATTGGGGACACACCATGAGCTGCTCACCCCGTATTTGCAGGCTGCGTCGGTGGTCTCCTTGAGCTGGTTCTTCACCTGTGTTGTAGAGGCCTTTTCCAGAATTCTCCGGGCTTGTTCTGTAGACATGCCAGCCTTCTCTGCAGCCTGAGGGGAGATGCAGGAAGGAACACAACCTATATTAGCGGGGGTTGGGGTCTCAGGAGAAAACTCTGGTCTTTTCATTGTCTGCTCCCAGATTTCTGTGGCAAGGCCTTTCCCCACCCAACAGTGGAGGTCTATCCTTGCCAAGAGGGGCTGTGTTTTCTTCCTTCAAAAACTTGACATCAGTGGAAAGAGCCGGTGGCAGAGTCATAGCTGCAGAGATCTAACACCAGAGGGCATCTTAGAGACAGCTCCTGACCTCTGCAGTAACCCACCAGGACTCTGAAGTGGAGGCGGCACCTCACAGGGAAGCGTTCAATAGCCAAGGTCAGAATCGGAGTCCCTGAAGTGAAGTCCCGGGCTCCTGTCTTCCTACTGCTCAGGATTCCTGACTATCTAGTGCTTTTTTTTGAATCAAGGGCCGGGCTCTAATTCCCATGGAATTTCCAGGGGACCTCTGAGCAGGGAGCATGGCTGCAGCCACCTGCCTGGCTTCACGAGAAGGATAAAGGCTGTTTGGGGTTTGTCGTTATAGTTTGGGATCAGTGGTTTGGCTGTACGTTACAATCTCTAGGGGGAGCTTTTTAAAATCCCAATTCTCAGGCCACCTCCAGAACAATTCTATCAGAATGCCTGGGGGCAGCACCCAGGTGTTCCAGGTGATTTTAATAGATAGCCAAGTTTGAGGAGCACTGGTACCTGACCTCCTTAGCCTGCAGGGATAAACACGAAATCACGCAGTGCTTTCTGATGTGACATTGCCTTTGTCTACGCTACATAAGATATCTGTGTCCCAGATCAAATATTCAATAATAGGAGAACGGTAAGTAAACAAAAATAAGCCTGGTGCATAGAATGCTGTGTTATAAACCAAAGGGTTTATAACAGCATGGGAAATGATTGCTAAATATTAATCGAAAAGGCAAGCCTATGCATAAAGTTGGCAGGAATAAAAACACGGGGCGGGGGGGGGGGATATATAGGCCATTCTTTGTATGTTTAATGTGTTTTGTGAGTTGCCATTTTATATATTAAATTTGAATATACCTCAACTATCTTCTGTAAACGGAAGGGACAACATTGAATTTCCTGATTGAATCGCAAAGAAAAACGTACTTTTTATACCTCTGTCTATGGCTGGTACACATTTTAATGTTTTGAGCTATTTGCATTTGTTCTCGCTCAGACTTCGGTGTAATTCTGGCCTGAGTCGGTCATCTCTTTTGGTCTTTTTAAAGCCTGTTTTGGAAGTCTCCTGCTTTCTACTCTGGACATGTTGGTGAGGTCTGTGCTGGAATGTCTGGGTCCAAGACTCGTCAGTACTTCATCCCTCCCCATCTGTGGAGGGGTAACATTGATGATCTCTCTCCCACTGACTTCCTCCATCAAATAAATTGTACCCATGCAGAATTTCGCACGTCCCCTTTCAACCATGAGATATTCTTTTGAGAGTCCTCTTAGTTCTAGCCTTTCAGTAATTTGGCCCCCCAAACACAGATATCCTTTCTCCCCAAATAACAATAGCCTCTTCCACCCAGTAAGAAAATGGTATCTTCTCTGCCCCCAAATGCCAACTGTTCTCAGATTCCTCAGGGGGGTGGGCAGAGCCAGGACACTCACTGCCAGGATGCTCTGGGGTTCTGTGATGTCTTCATCCTGGGAAGAAGCGAACACTCAGTAGGAAGGAGGTGGCCAGGTGAGGGGTGGGGTGGAGGACAGTAGGGCAGCGAACAGGGTAGGGCTGGAGCAGGAGTCTGGAAACTAGGGGAGGGTCGCCGAGTCACCGAGGGTCTCCCAGGTGGGTTCCCAGAGCCCTGCCCTCACCCGAGACCAGACACGCATCCATAGTTCCCTGGACGCTTTCTCCAGCATCTCTGGGTGCTCCAAGTTCAGGGCCGTGAGGAAGCGCATGGCCGACAAACTTCCTGTGGGGCACAGGCACTGAGGTAGGGCTCCCCTCGCTTGCTTCCTGATGGAGAGCTGCCTCTTTCCTGCTTCTGACATGCCCCAGAGCTCCACTGCCCTCGGCTTCCCACCCAAGTTTCTCTGGACTGATTTGTCCTGCTCTTTGTCCTCTGATGTCCCCACAGCCTTCTGTTCGCTCAGTGCTGATCCTGCATTTCCCCAGAGTTTGTTTCATTGAAGTTAGATGCCCTTTTGTCTCCAAACTTCGCTGGCTTCCACGTGCTCCCCCATCTGTATCCCACACTCGTTACCTTTTTCAAGGATCACAGAGAAGAAATCCTTGGGGGTGTTGATGGGAACCTGGATATGCTGTCCCAGGCGCCTCACGTCGGCTTCCATGTATTTGCCTTTGCGGGGCACCAGGGCTGGCGGCCTGTTTCCTGCAGGTGGAAAGTAGGGCCCCGCTGGTGAGAGGTGGCCTAAGAGTCCCAGGCTTGGGGGACCCATACTGCTTTTTGGGCAGAGGGCAGATTAGCTAGCTGCTGGTGCCAATACAAAGACCCAGCGGTGGGCAGCCTCGGCCAGTCTTTGAAATCAGCCCTCCCTCGAGTCCCTGCCCCAAGCGCCGCTGCCTTCTTACCACTGTCTTTCATGATCCCTGCAATGAAGCTCGGGCGCAGCTGCAGGTGGACATTCCAGATGTTCTTATAGCGGCACAGGATCTGCAGGGGCAGAGCGGAAGCTCTAGAGCCAGAGAGCAAGGTGGAACACGTGGGAATGGCAGCGGGACGAGCAAGGTGTGTCAGGGCAGCTGGTCAGCCAGGGGCTCTAAGCGCCAAGTAGGGCTTATGAGGACACCCTGAATTACTTGCGTTTGAGATGGCAAAACTCCCTCTACTCCTAGAAATCTATCCCAGGATCTCTGCTCCTGAGGACGGTTTCCATCCTGTTCTGCACGCCATCCCCTCACCCCCTCCAAATTGACATCCAGGGCTAAGGGGTGGCGGTGCCATGGCTTTCTCCTTGATTCTTTGGAGTTGCCCCTTTTCCAAAGCACTATGGGAAACCACTGCCTTGAGATATAAAGGCGTGACCTGGAGCCAGTGACCTTATTCTCTTTGGAAATACAAAGTGACCTTCAGCCCCGTCTGTCTATCTGCCTGTCCTAAACCGCTCTGGGCACTGCTAGGAATTGCACGTGACCATAGGTCCTGAGTCCTGCGTTCTCTTCCCTCTGCCCGCGCCCTCCCAGGCCCGGTGTCACCTCAAAGCCCAGCCAGGAGTAGGGGGACAGCACGTCGTAGAAGAGCTCCAGGGTCCGCGGCGCGGGCCCCATCCTGCGGCGTAGCGAAGGAGACCCGAGCAGGACTCTAGAAGAAAAGCTGCGCACGCCGCCTTCTTTTGGACACCTCCCAGGTTCCGGGCTGCCCGGAGGACCGCCCCATGCCTCTACTGCGCAGCCTCGCAGAGGACCCCACGGAGTCTGGTTGCAGGTTGGGGTGGGCGCGGCTGCACTGCTGGGATTTGGGGTGGGTGGGGCGTCACCACCAGGGCGTGCAGGATTGGTGACCCGCCCACCTCGTGTTCGCTGCCCTGTCCTGGGGTGGAGTCTGGGACAAAAGAGGGTGGCTCGAGATGCATGCTGCGCCTCAGCTGTGGGCCTTTGGCAAGCCACTGAACCGCTCTCAACCTGTTTCCTCATCCCTCATAAATACGGGGATGCGTAGCAATAACGTCTGCCTCACATAGACTTGGGAGGAATGAAAGGACCCCGGTACACGTTAGTTATTAGTGTTACTTGGCAGTTGCATGAACTTACTGGGACTGGACAGAGTAAGAAGTGGCGAAAATGTAATTTTTTTTGCGTGTTTCTGAGTGCTTAGCACAATGCCTGGAACATATTTGACCGTCAGTACATATTTTGTGAGTGAGTGAAGGAGAGAAGGAATAGTCTTGCCCTGTTTGTATTTGTGAGTGTCATATTGTCTTATAGTGGGATTACACTTACCGCAGACACACAATTTTTTAAAGTTCCACTGAATTTTATTAAAATTATTATTTTTTAAAGATTTTATTGGGACATTGGGGGAGGGGAATAGCACTGCGGAATCAGGGGAAGGGGAACAGACAAGTTGCTGTCGTTCTGTTTTTCAGTCTAGTTGTGGAGGACGTTGCTTCACTGGCTGATGTTGGTATTATCATTGTGCTCTTCCTGGATGAGGCAGCTTGGTCGTCGGCTGCTCACAGCAGCTCTTGGCAGCTCACTCGGGCTGCTGGCCACTCATGCTGGCTGCCAGCCACACATGGCAGCCCACTGCAGCAGGGGCTGCAGCCTACACTGTCGCTGGTGACTCATTGCATCCCAGCTCCAGGTCGAGCTGTTGTTCACCATCTTAGCTTAGAGGGCAGTGTCACTGGCTCTCATGTGGGATCCGAACCGGGGCCCTGCTGCTCAGAGCTGGTGTCCCAAGCCAGCTCTTAACCAATGCGCCACTCGGCTGGCCCTAAAATTATTTTTAACATTACTAATTTTATGAATTGGAAAGCACATAATAGATATTCCACTTCTCATTTGTATCTATTAGGAAAAAACTCCCAGGCCACCAGAATACAAAGACACAGTATAAACATGTAGATAGAGTAGAACATATAAAATGGAATGAGAAACGATGTTATGTTCGCCCCCTTGCAAATTAAAACTAATTGCTTAATGATCGCCAAAACTGAAAAATTATGCTTTGTTTTTCTCCAGTATTGATTTAAAAGTATCCAAGAGCTAATTTAGCCCGGTAATAAGCTTTTATTATAACATCAGTTCATCCCTTATTTTTAAAAACCTTTACATTTGGAAATAATTTCAGGCTCACAGAAGAGTTGTAAAGATAGTATAGAGTTTCTGCGTGCTCCTTGCCCTGCTTTCTGTAATGTGAACATCTGTCATAATCATGGTGGAATGATCAGAACTATGAAATTGACATTGGTTCATTACTCTTAACTAGATCACATGTTAAAGAAAGGAACCAATAAAGTGCCTGGAGAACTCATGGAAAAACTTTTTTTTTTTTTTTAAAATCTGTGAGTAGAGACAGTTTTGCTAACTGTAATACCAAATGCAGAAGCCTTAAAAGATTTATACATTCAATTACATAAAATTAAAATAAAACCTGTTTGGCCGAATCCAATTAAGTAAAAAAATAACTGGGAAAAATATTTGGGTTCATTTCACAGTCACACAGCTAATTATCCTAATGTAGAAAAAGGTAAACAAACCCAAGAAAGTAAAAGAACAGCAGCCCAGTGGAAAAATAGGCAAATGATATGATTAGGACAGCCATAGAAATGGACATAGATGGCTCTCAAACATAAAAAAAAACTTTCTACATACTTATGAAAATTTCAAGTGAAAATTACACTATGATATATTTTTGTCTCTTGAGTTGTCAGAGGTCAAAAAGTTTGCTGATTCAGGGTGTTAGAAAGGCATTGTCTTATGTAACTGGTGGCAATACAAATCTATACAGCCTCTAAGGGAAGTTCAGCCATCTCTTTGTGTTTTACAGATGCACACACCCTTTGACCTAGCAATTCCATTTTTAAGAATTTGTGCTATAAACACGCTTGCCTACATGCAATATGGTGTATTATGAGGTTATTTATTATGGCATTGTTTGTAATGGCAAAAGATTGGAAAGTACCTAAATGTTCACCAATGTGGGACTAATTTGATACACCAATATTTATAGTTTCTTCAACTTTACAAGGGTTTTGGAAGCTCTATTTATTAATAATGATATCCTGTATATTGATAAGTGAGAATCAAGGTGTAAAACAGTGCATGTTGTTTGCTATCTTTTTTTTAAGGACTGGAATACTCTAAGTGTGTGGATATACACATGCACATATATGTTTGTTGATTTTGCTGGATGGAGAGAACAGAAGCGAATCAAATTGGTTGCTTTTGAGGTGGGGAGCTAGGTGGCTGGGGGCAGGGCAGGGCAGGGGGCTTTTATGTTGTATACAACCATGAACACTTTCTTATCTTTGACCCCAGGGAGTATATTATCTACCCAGAAAGAAAGGAGGGAAGCTGCTTTTAGGAACTTGTCCTGGCAGAATGGGGAGGGGCTTGCAAGGACTTATTTATATGATTTATTACCATTTCTATATTTTACTTAGATTTAAGGAAAATGTCAAGTATGAAGGCCATATAGCAACACACGAGACACACTTTTAAGATATAATATTTGCCAAGATGCAGCTGACTATTTACATCGCTGGTTCTAAATGCCTGACCTTTTCCTAAGGATGTACTGAAGGTTACGTGAAATTCTGTGTGCTAACTTTTGCATTTAAGACACCATACCAACGTGCAAGAGAGTGAAGTTGGCATTATTGTGGTTGTAATCTCGGACGTGCTATGCTATATAAGAAGAGGTAAGTAAGCCTTGGCAAACCGGGGACTTTAAATACAGTTAATAACAAATTTAGTTGGAACATTGCACAGTTCATCAGGACATACCAGTGTGACAGACAGCATTGCAGCTGGGAAGAGCTAATATATGCTGTCCCTGTACCCTTGTAAGATATGAACAAAACATTGGTTATATGGGCAAAAACAAAAGAAGATGAAAAAAAATGTAAATAGCTGTATTAGGGATTATAAACCATTTTTCTTAATTTCTCAGACTGCCTTTCAGGCTTTGATAATTTCTTTTTTCCTTTTATTTCTTTTTATAAAATAGCTCTATTGAGGTATAACCAACTTGAAGGGTCTTTAGGAATTAGGTAGGAGTTCGACCAATGAGAGGGAGAGCAGGTGGGTCCCCACCGAGGAACTAAGTAAGACATTGACCTTGGCTGAAGGATTCGGAAGATGGCAATAGCAGGAGATGAGGCTGGAGAGGTGCCAAGTAGAGTCCAGGTCAGGTGACAAGTTTCAACATCTCGACGTGAATGACTTCAAGCATAGTATGGTTTTAAAATGCATTTTATAGGAGAGAAGTAGTAATTCCATTGCTTAAGAGCTCAGAAGCACTTCCCGTGGTGTGGAAAAGCATATGAGAACTGTTAATAATTGACTCATATGTTGAATCACATAGCCACAAATATTCATTTTTATTATTTAGTAACTACGCATAGGACACAGAAAGCTTACCACTTGTCAGATGCCCTTCTAAGTGCTTTATAAAAAATAGCCCATTTAATCCTTATAACAACTCTGCAAAGTAGGTACTATTTTTTAGCAGCTTTATTGAGTTTTCATTTATATATCATAAAGCTTACCCATTGTAAGTGTGCCGTTCAATAATTTTTATTAAATTCATAGGGTTGTGCAACCATCGCCGCAATCCAGTCTTAGAGTATTTCCATCACCTCTACAATACTCCCTTGTGCCAGTTTGCAATCAAGTCCACTCCCACCCCTAGTAACAGGAAACACTGATCAGCGTTCTGTCTCTATAGATTGGCCTTTTCTGGGAATTTCATATAACTAGAATCACATAATGTATGTGCTTTTTGCACCTGACTTCTCTCACTTAGCACAGTATTCTTAGGTTCATCCATGTTGTAGCGTGCATCCAGTATTTTTTTTTATTGCTGAATAGTATCCCATTGTATGGATGTGCCAGTTGTTTTTATAAATCCACCACCTAATGGACGATTTAGATTATTTCCAGTTCTTGGCCATTGTGAACAAGGCTGCTATATATTTGCATACAGGTCTTAGTGTGGACGCGTGTTTTCATTTCTCTTGGGTAGATACTTGGGAGTGGATACTTGGGTTTAATGGTAAGTTTATGCTTCACTTTTTAAGGAACTGACAGACCATTTTCCAAAGCTGCTGTTCAGGTAGGTAACCATTATTACCATGGTCCTGATTTTATTGATGGGGAAAAATGAGGCATGGAGAGGCAGAAACTTGCACAAGGTCATAAAGCCTGTGAGGATGGGAATTGAACCTGTGCATCTGGAGCTGGCTTCTGTGAACTTGACATTCAACGTTGGCGGCCACATCCTGGGGTTGGAAATTGTTCTCAGTTTCACAGAATGAGCCTTGCCTACTTTTCCTTAGTTGATTTTGGCTCCACGCTGCTGGAGAACATGTTATTCAGCTCTGTCCGTGGGAATTGTGCTGGAAGGAATTTCTGCAATGTCGCTTCCTTCTTTACACCCAAGGTCGTTCCCTAAGCAAATGTCAGCCCACTCATGTATTTTTATTTCTGTGTTCCTTCCATGAGAAAAACGAATAAGTCTCAGGAGTGTTTGCGACTGGGATTTGTAAACTCTCCAATGACCAAGTCTCCTTTCTTAGACCAAAAACCACCTTCTTAGGACAAAATAACCTCCTAGCTGCTGATAGGATGTGTGTGCCTGGTGGGTTTCTTTTTTTTTTTTTTTTTAAAGATTTTTATTGGAGAATTGAAGGGATGGGAACAGCACTGGGGAATTGGGGAAGGGGAACAGACAAGTTGCTGTCGTTTTGTTCTTCAGTCTAGTTGTGGAGGAC